ACTTTGAAATACGGTCAAACTGAAATTCGTAATTCTTCCATGACCAGGAAGTTCAGCTAGCTGTGTAAACTGTAAAATTAAGTGACCCATTAAGTGCATGGCTTCACCTGACAGCTTTGGTGTCAAACACATTGTTAATTAAACACCAATAATCTTTGCTTTAGGCCCCTATGACTATGTCAAAAACAATTTGTCTATTTCAAAAATGTTTGCCAAAAAAAAATGAGTTACTTCCCCTTTTTTATCACCTTTTCACAATATATTCCGTTTATTTATGTTTTTTTTTTCGTAATTAAATAAATATAAAAGAAATTGAATGCAAATGCATATTAGAATATTTCTTTTAATTATTTTAACCTGAAAACACTTAGAAAATAAATATTTTGAAAATTGTTTTTTTTTTCATCTTCACCTCCATTCACTGAAACTTGATTTTACTTTAGTGCCTGAGTTTTCTTTTGGTTTAATTGCCATTCACATTATATTCAGTCACGTCTCAGTCATTACAACTGAACGGACGTGCTGGGTCAGCTCTCCTTTACCCGCTATCTTTGATGAGGGTTTACAGTTTGATGGATCAATGACTTACTACTTTCGATGACTGAAACCAATCCAACGCTGTACAGACTACGTTAGGCTATAATCCGCGTAGGGGCAAATTCCCGCGTCAACATACACTCCAAAACCCATTATGGATGGGGGAGTGGTATGCCGAGTGACGTCCGAGGGCTGTATCCTAGGTGTTAGATGATGGACCGCCATTTCACTGTCACACGACTTTGGTCCTGATATTGCTTCCTGTCATCGTTAATACTACGTCCGAGACTCATCTACCAGTACTCCATCATCGAGGTTAGCGGGCTGCCAAGCTGACCAATCTGGCCCTGAAAGCAGCCGTTGTGAAGACATAACATCAAAATAGTCAACAAAAGAAAAACCAAAACAACTCACAAAACCAAGATGGCGGCCTACCAAAATGGCGTCCTCCACCTGTTCCTGACCGATGGCACAAAATTATTTAAACGCTCACCAAACCCCTGGGGGCACCGAGCCGACCGTGCAAGGGCTGTATAGCCAGTCAAGGTCGTTAAAAACTTCCATTTGTTGTTGGTTTAATTGCCCTTTATTCAATGACATTTTACAAATAAAATTGTTATTTTTCTGACTAGAGCACCCTGCCCTTTTTAAATCCTGGCTAGAACACTGTATCTTCATGTGAATATATATATATTTAACAAACAATAGTGAATTTCAGTCCCAAAGATTTTACTTTTTTATTTGGTTGAATTTGTAATACATTAAACAGATTATATTTTTTCTTAAGTCCCAATACCAGGAATCATCCAGGACTTTTGTTTTTTTTTTTTCCATTCAGATAGAATTTGTAAATGTCCTGAAAGTTGGATGAATGATGATCGAAAAGTCCTGATATATTCTGGTTTATATAATATGATTTTTGAAAGTCTTGAGATATCCTGAGAATTCCCCCAGTTTTAAGCTGCTTGATTTGAAAGTGCTGACATTTTCTGGAATTCTCCCATTAAATTTTTCCTAAAAAAAGGACTTATAGCCTAACAGGATATTTTCAGGATATCCCAGGAAAATCTTGAGATATCCTTATTATAAAAGTTGTCAGGATTTATTTCTGCAAGGGGTGTATACATTATCATTTGATGGAAAATGTAAAAATAAAAGTATTGGTTACAGAACAGTCATATAATTAGAGACAAAAAGTAATTTTAACAAAAAATAATATGTCACATTTAATAAGTTTACACTGGTTGAAATAAAAACCAAAGTATTCTTGAAATCTTTTCCTGTTACAAGATATCATAAGTGTATTGCACAGTTTAGGAAATTGTTTGTTGCAACTTTCTAGCAAACAAACTCTTTCTTGCAACATTGCAGCAAAATACTGCAACTTTCTCACGAACAAATATTATTGCAGTAACATTGAGAGATTATGTTACAGGTTACAGCTGCAACAACATGTAACTTTCTTGCTTGTACTTCTTGTAAACAAATTTGTTTGCTCCAAGATAATAGAAAACTTTTTACTTCAGTAAGGGATGTTAAATTTTCAGACACAATTTTGCTGAAATTTTCTAAGTTTTTTTCCATCAAGCAAAATGACACAGAGTTTAAATACCATCACACTTTCCATCAACAAAATATTCTAAGTCCAAATTCCATCCCACTTTCCATCAAAGAAAATGTTTAAGTCCAATTTCCATCAAACTTCCTTTATTTCCATCCTATTTTCCATCAAGTGGAATAAATGCCATCATATTTTCCATCAGAGGGTAAAAATGCCATCCAATTTTCCATCAGGGGTTAAAAATGTCATCAAATTTTCCATCAAAAGAATGCGGATGGAAATAAAATTCATAATTTCCATCATCCTTTGATGGATTTTTATGCCCCCGCCGTAGCGGTGGGGGCATTAAGTTTTACCCTTGTCCGTCTGTACGTACGTACGTACGTCCGTCCGTCCGTACGTCCCAAAATTGGTTTCCGTTCTCTAACTTGAGTTTGCCTCAACCAAATGTTATGAAACTTATACACAATGCTTATTACCACAAAACACAGATCAAGTTTGAATTTTGGTGGCGTCACTTTAACCGTTCTAGAGTTATGCCCCTTTATAAATGGAAAAATTGCAAAATTTTTAGTTTCCGTTCTTTAACTTAAGTTTGCCTCAACCAAATGTTATGAAACTTTTATACAATGCTCATTATCACAAAACACAGATCAAGTTTGAAATTTGGTGGCGTCACTTTAACCGTTCTAGAGTTATGCCCCTTTATAAATTGAAAAATTGCTAAATTTTTAGTTTCCATTCTTTAACTTAAGTTTGCCTCAACCAAATGTTATGAAACTTATATACAATGCTCATTATCACAAAACACAGATCAAGTTTGAATTTTGGTGGCGTCACTTTAACTGTTCTAGAGTTATGCCCCTTTATAAATGGAAAAATTGCTTAATTTTTAGTTTCTTCTAAATTTCAAGTTATTTTTTTTTAAATTGGAGTTATCTTCCTTTGTCCATGATTATAGTTGAATCAACTACAATCAATGCTTTATACAATGCAATGTTTAATTTTGACTTCCACTGATAAAACACAGATCAAGTTGAATTTGGGTAGTGTCACTTTAACCATTATTGAGTTATGCCCCTTTATAAATAGAAAAATTGCTGAATTTTTAGTTTCTGTTCTCTACTTAAGTTAGCCTCAACCAAATGTTATGAGACTTACACACAAAACTCAGATCAAGTTCAAATTTGTGTAGCATCACTTTTACTGTTCTTCAGTTATGTCCGTTTATAACTATATGATATGCTGCCCCTTTTCCCCAACACTATATGCTGTGTTAATGAATAACAGTTTGTACCTTTTAAATTGTTTTGGTTTTAATTGCTGCTTTAGAACACACTGTCCTAACTTTGGGTCAGATAACAGTTTCTTTTCAAACTTGGGGTCAGTTTATTTTAATCACATATTTTGGCAAGATATATAGATGCTGGGAGGAATTTTTTCATCATGATTTTTTTAGAGGTAAAGTTTTAAAATGTTGTCCAACGAACAAGGGCACTTTTCCTTTCACTGTGTGTGGGTAAAGTCTACGTTCTCGTTTTTCCCTGTCATATATTTGGTCTTAAGCCAGATCCTGTCTTTGGGCTGCGTTAAGCCGTTTAATCAATCACACTCGCTGTATCACCCGTTTCATCAGTGTTTCTTTGGGAAGAGGTCACCCTAAAACCAAACAGACTCATACGTTTACTACTTCAGTTCTATTATTATATTCTCAAGTTTCCTGTTAACCTGTACGATGACCGGTCATGTGACTACACATCAAATCAATTGTGAAGAATTTAGGCATTCACATAAGTTTCCTTTCAGTATAGTTGCACATTTTAAGATTATTTTTATACTAGATTTTTATATTTTTGTTCAAAATGCTTTTTAATTTTTTTTAACTCTGGTGTAACTAACTACCGGTCTGAAGGTCTGAACCCGTAAATGGAAGGTTTCAGACCTCGGACTGCCGCTAATTTGAACCCCTGAACCTCTCCAGATTTCTTTGTTGACTTTAGGGATGTGTAAACATTTACAGTTTTCTGGGACTAAATAAGTGTCATCTAATTTTGTCAGTGTCTCTCTTTTCAATGGCTTGTTGATTGCCTGATCAGCTAACTTTACCATCTGATCATCTATTTTTTCCCCAAATTTCTTTTGTTCTTCATACATTTATTCCAGTTCATCTAGAAAAGTTTTGTTTTCCACACTGTCATTTGTGTCCACTATATCGTCAATATTCAGTTACTTATCCTCATCATCGAATATATCTTCAAGACCATTATCAGACACTTCACTTTCACTGTTAATTGTGTAAATGTCATTGTCAACTTTAATCTTCTGTGCATTTGTGTTCGCTTTTGTTTTAGGGACTTTTTCTGAGTAACAGCGTCCTGAACAGTTAACATATTTGCTGCCAAATTAGCGATTATCTCTGTTCTCTTGATTGCATCAATCATTTCCTCATCTCGAGGAGAATTGTCCACCTCAGACATGTGGCCTTGTAAGGCCGTCACCATTATAGCGTAACTTGACAATTTTCCAAAACTGAATCAAATAAATTCTTTTTCATGATGTTTAAAAATACATCCACGCGTGAAAGTATCTTCAAAAGAAACACTGTTAGTTCCTGCACTAAGTTGTACTATTTTCCCACGAATTCGATACGCTTAATCGTTGATTTTTGTTAAAAACCTTCGGATATCTGCTTTTAAGAATTGACCAATGGCGTCACATGACCGTAATGACCTTTGGCAGTTACAAACTTCTGTTCTCTCGTGGAAGATCCTAAGTCATCTATTGTTCAATAAAATTGAGACTTGTAACAGGTTATCATTCCTTTAATAACCAATATTGATAGCTGAACACTGAGCAATAAAGTCTGTAATTAGCCCTTAAAATTTGAAGTTTTTGTTTACAGCAAACAGTCAAGACAAGTCTCTAGCAGATATTTTAGCTTCATTAGCTGATGAAAATTGCAGTTCGTCATCACAGGAAATTGCACAACAAATAACTGCACTAGAAGAAGGAGATAGTATTCTTTTGGATAAATCTCAACATATTGATGATGAAGATGATAAACAGCAGGAAGAGGAAACTTTAGAGATGACACAAGTGGTTTTTGATGATATGGATAAAAATGAAGACAGTAGTAACCAACAAGAAGAGATGATGATACCTATATCTAGGTAAGAATCATTGTTATTGCTATTTTCTCAAATTTTCTTCTGATCTATCTGTATGATCATATTTAATTTCATGCTGCTCCAATGATACAGTTGGAATATGGATTTTTGTCAGGCGAAGGAGAATGCATTACATTTCATGTACTATATCCTTTGATGTAGCCAAGAAAAACCAGAGTGCCACGTTGAAATGTCTAGCCTGCTTTATTGTCCATTGATTTTATGTTGATAGTCCTAAATATAAAGTTTTACACAAGAATCACATTAACTTAAAATGATGAAAGAAAATGAGGTCAAGGTCAGATAAACCAAGCCAAAATTCATGTACACCTTACCACCATTCCATACACCAAATTGACCAATTGCTTCTATTTTAAGAAAAAAACAGACCAAAACACAAAAGCTTAACATTGAGCAATGAACTGTGAAAAGGTCAAATAAAACCTGCCAAACTTACATGTACATCGTAAAATATTTCCATACACCAAATATAGTTGACCTATTGCATACAGTATTAGAAAAACAGACCGAAACACAAAAACTTAACTTTAACCTCTGAACCATGAAAATGAAGTCAAGGTCAGATGACACCTGCCAGTTGGACATGTACATCTTACAATCATTCCATACACCAAATATAGGAGACCTATTGCTTATAGTATCTGAGATATAGACTTGACCACGAAAACTTAACCTTGATCACTGATTCATGAAATGAGGTTGACGTCAAATGAAAACTGTTGACAAGTATAAGCCTGAGGACTTGCATTCATTAATTCAACCTGACCCAGTGATTTTTACCCATGGAATCGTCCGATACCAAAACAACAGAAAATTCTGAAGCGGAACAGAATTAATTCTGACAAACCTTATTCGTAAAGCCTGGTCAATATAAAATCAATGCAAAGTGCATGAACTCTATTAATAATCTATCTTTAAAATTTTATTCTACGCTAGTACTATCCTGAACTCATTTCACAAATACTGAAAACCTCTTTTTCACCCGTAGTGATAAAAGGGTTGCGTTATTTTTTATTTGTAATATTTATTGACCAATTTATTATTTTGTATACTATATTATGTTGCTTTTGTTGCACATAATGGTGCCTGAGTGTATTAATAAAACTTGCAAGTTTCGCACATTCCTATTACTCATGATAAAAGAGAAATAAACATTACAAAAAATCTTACCTTGTTGTTGGAAAGCAAGACATAGCAATCCTAGATTCAATCGCTGCGGTGGCGGCATCAAAATTTAAATTAAGTCTGTGGTTAAATTTTTTAAGATTTTTAAAAATGAATTAAAAGTATTTGTCAGTCCCACGTGGAATTTTATGAAATTTGGAAGTATCCAGAGCAAAATTTTGAAAATATTTATTTTCATTTTACCATATTTTACTAATAATTAGACTTAGTTCTTTTATACATCGCAAAAATTTTTTGCGTTTGTATAATGCTATCATGTCGTCGTCATCGTCGTCCGAAGACACATTTTGTTTCCGGACAATAACTTTAGAACTTTTGTTTAAGTGAATGGATCCTTATGAAAATTTTACCAGAAGGTTCAATACCACAAAAGAAAGGTTGGGGATTGATTATGGGGGTTATGGTACCAACAGTTTAGGAATTAGGGGCCAAAAACAAGCATTTTCGTAGTTTCCAGACAATAACTTGTGTGTGAGCGTATGGATCTCTCTGAAATTGTACCACAAGGTTCCATATCACAAAGGGAAGGCTGGGATTGAGATTGAGGGTAATTACTCCAAGGGGGGGTTCAAAAAGTTTGGGGGTGGATTTTTAAGTCTCCAAAACGAAGTTTTGGAAGACTTATTGTTTTTGCTCAGTTCTTATTAAGTCACCCAAACAAAGTTTGGGAAGACTTATTGTTTTTGCTCAGTTCTTATTATTCTTCTTCTTCTTCCGCCGCTTTTAAATTTGAACTTGTCCGCACCTGTTCTCCAAAACCGCTTGTCAGATTAACTTAGGGTTTCACAATATGTTAGACTAACATGTCTAGTGGTGCAATCAGGGTTTTGTTTGTGCAATGGGGTTTATAAAGGGGTACTTTGAGGGGCAAAAAGAAAAGAGGATTTTACTTTAGAACCCTATGGGATTTTATTTTTAAAAATTTTCAAATGAGTATAAATTGAAAACTGTTTGTGATAGACACAATCTTTTTAATTGAAAATGTTCTAAATGATAAAGCCCATTTAATGAAATACAGGGTTAGTCCCCAGGGGTCACCCCCACCCCCTGTCATTTAAAAAAGTTCTAATACCTTGTAAGTGGTCAAGATCCCCACCCCTAAACCATATATATTTTGGTTTGTCGTGCTAAGATGGTTTGAATGATATACAGGGTTAGTCCCCAGGGGTCATCCTGACCCCCTGCCATTTGAGAAAGTTCTAATATCTTGTAAATGGTTGAGATCCCCACCCCTAAACCATATATATTCTGGTTTGTCATGATAAAGCACATCAAATGTAATACAGGGTTAGTCCCCAGGGGTCATCCCGACCCCCTGCCATTTGAGAAAGTTCTAATATCTTGTAAATGGTCAAGATCCCCACCCATAAACAACATATATTCTGGTTTGTCATGATAAAGTACATCAAATGAAATACAGGGTTAGTCCCCAGGGGTCACCCCCACCCCCTGCCATTTAAGAAAGTTCTAATATCTTGTAAGTGGTCAAGATCACCACCCCTAAACCATATATATTCTGGTTTGTCATGCTAAGATGGTTTGAATGGTATACAGGGTTAGTCCCCAGGGGTCATCCCGACCCCCTGCCATTTGAGAAAGTTCTAATATCTTGTAAATGGTTGAGATCCCCACCCCTAAACCATATATATTCTGGTTTGTCATGCCAAGATAATTTGAATGATATACAGGGTTAGTCCCCAGGCATCACTGATGCATATAACTTTACTGGACCAAACCCTCTGTTTCTTTTTCCCTATTATTATTATTATTATTATTTTTCTTCCACCTAATTTTGTCCGCCCATTTTCTCAGAGCCAAAGGAACCAATCTACATGATGGGGCACTATAACAAGGAACCCTGACTTTCCAGTTGCAGTGCAACTTTGGAACTAAAATGGCTGCCGTTACCATGGAAACTGAAAAATGGTGAAAAAATATAATTTTGGAGTTCGGTGAATTATTTGAGAATGCTTAAACTTAAAATCATTAGATTTTAATACAATGTAGGTGCCCACTATATACTGGTTTTGGATGATTTTGGCAATCATTGGAACTACTATGTTGCCATGGAAACTACACTAAAAATTTCAAAAATATCAAAATGCTCCAAATTTAATGAAACTTCACAGTAACGATGAGCAACATTGGTAGATGTGGAATTTGGCGTTGGAATTTCTAAAATGTCTGCCCTTACCATGGAAACAATGCAAAACAGGTAAAAATTCTCCAAAAACCTAAAAGTAGCATTTACTTTCTTAAAATGGTAGGTCAAATCGATTGAAACTTTGATGGTATTTTGGGAATGGTCTCTGTTACCATGGGAACCATCAAAAATGTCAAAAATTTCAAAAATTTCAAAATCCTCCAAAATTCATGAAACTTCATATAATTGTTGAATGGCAAGTCTGGATGAGACTTTTGACTTTGGAATTTCCAAAATGGCCACCGTTGCCATGGAAACTGCAAAAATGTCAAACATTTTCAAAATGCTTCAAACTTAATAAAACTTGATATTATTGTTAACTGGCAAGTATAGATGAGACTTTTGACTTTGAAATTTTCAAAATGGCTGCCGTTGCCATGGAAACGGCAAAAATGTGATTTTTTTTAATGCTCTGAATGTACTGAAAATTTACAGAAAGATGTATAGCTATGCATATATGTCAGAGCTCCAGATAAGAATTCACAAATTGGGTTTTTTACCCACCATTTTTTTATGTAATTGGGTGATAAAGTTTTTTAATTGCATTATAAATTCCAATTCACCCCTCAAGCAAATATCAAATTGGGTTTTTCACCACCAAGCTCCTTAATGTATTGGGTTTTTTCATCAACACAATATTGAATATTTAGGCATGTTATAATCACATTATATCAACCCCAGATGTGTTTCCATCTTAAATGTGTTTCTTTCTTTGTAGAATATGTGCTAGCTGTTTTATTTGGTTTATTCACTGACGAGCAATTGTACATTTAATTTGTGTCCCGTTTTAAACGTTCTGTCAGTTTTGTATTTTCTCAAAATTTATGTAAATTGCAGCTGGTGTCACTAGTTGGACAGGAACTAATTGCCTTTCTAGATCCCATATGATCACCCTACAGTTTAATTATAGTTGGGGTAGGTGTGGCTAAGTGTTTAGATTTTTGTGTAATATATGTGAAATTTAGGTGCTGTAAGAAAGTTTTTCCAGTCCTTTCACCTATTTGCCAGATCTACTTTTTAATAAAAATAAAAAGTAGTTTCCAGATTTAAGATATACCCCAAAACCTTGAGGTTTATAGGGTGGTTTATAATGACGGAGACCACATTCAACTTAAATTTACAAATAATTCTGCAACATCAAGTAAATAAATGACAATGTTATACTGCACTTGCCAATAAGACAACTATCTTAAGCATCTAAAACAATTAGACCAAAACAAAGAAAGTGTCAAGCTGCATTGACGTAAAAAACGGATATGTGTATTCACTCATCAACTAAAATGAAAAAAATAATATATAAACTGTTTTCGTTTAATTCAATTTACATAAATCTGGGTTAAGTTGTCCCTTATCAGAACTTTTGGTTTCCGATGCTTTCAAACTACATATCATGTCATAATTGATTTGGCCTTTCACTTTTTCCAACTGATTTCGTTTTTGACGGAACCCCGTGTTTATCGCTCTAGCCGGCAATGTTCTCGTTATGGTACGCAAACACGCCCGTGCGTTCAATGGCCGCTTCCTAAAATCACTTGCTGAGTCTTGTTATCATCATAAATTTCCCTCAGCTATCAAAAAGAAGCCGAAAACATGC